GAAATTTTAGTAGCTATAAGTAACAATAAATATACATTAACATGAATTAAATGAAAGTTAAAATTAAAATTAATTGTAAAAAAATGTTTTGTCTATGTGGACACTTTAGATGAAGATAAAACTTTGCTATTATATATACTAGAGGATGTCCCGGGCTACGCCCGAGTTTATTGGTTATAAATTTGTGTTATATTGATTATGTATTATATACTTAAAAAGAAAATTAGTTAAATTAAAACTGAAATGGTGGATCAGTGCCATTATTTCCCCCTCTCAATTCTCTGCTAAGACATTTTACATTACGTACGGCTCCTATTTGTCCAATATCTCTCTAACATCATTTGTGTTACTCTCTCGTGGTCACCAATTTATATTCCACATTCTGCGGTCATCATCTCCTATCAACAACAGTTCCTCACGATCTATCTCTATTTTGTAGTTCTCCTAGCTATTATTATATTCATCACTTGAATCCAATTAATTATCATGATATCCACCTTATGAAGTTATCTCTTTCTCTTCCACCATAGATGGTACTATAGACGTATATATATCTTCTTCTTTAGAATATAGTTAGGCATATAGCTTGTTGCATTGAAATTTTGTTTTTCTTAGTTATTTTCGTAACAATTTTGAATACATATTTTAAAAATCTAGTAGAGTTGAAATATATCATGAGGTATGTATGTAAGAGGTAATTGGGATTCTCTTACATGAAGTTTTGGTAATAGGCTTTATGTTTTTACGTCGAATCGAATCATAACTTTGCAAGAGAGAGAGGATACTCGAAGAAATTATCAATATATTTGATGTGATCTTTGTATATTTTATTATGGACTTACTAAGAATATTGTACAAATTGATAGCTTTTTTGCATAATAGCTTCTTTTGTTGAATGTTTCTTATTGTTTCATCGTACAACACATCTAACACACTTTTACACAAATTGGAAAGCAAACATTTGTTATAAAATAAACCATTAGTCGTGCATTTAGTGTATGAAAAGCACGAAAACCATAGACAATCGACAGTAATGCAAATGGTTCTAATAGATTGAATAAGCATGATGGACTTTAGATTCAATATAGAAGTTAAAGCTAATATATGAGACAAAACAGCAGATTCAATAAGTTTAATCGGAGGAAACAAAACCTGTTCTCTTAATGCAAACCATGATGAGCAGGAAAAGTGGGATTCTCTTATTTGATTGGTTTCTGATCAATCCTCTCTTGTTTTTGATTCTTCAATTTGGTTTCATCGTATCATGTTTTAACTTGTTCAAATCAGTCTACCTTTTTCAGTTGCAAAAAGAACTCTTCATATCTTTCCGTTGTCCTCCTTTTCTTAACTCAAAAACTATTTCATTAAACCAAAAGAGTTCGATACATTTTCAGTTTTTCGGCCTCAGTAAGAAAGTGGAAGCATAATGTAACTTCAGACCTTAACAAAAGTTCACATGATCGTCACATGAATTTAGAGCCTTCTTGATTTGCCGAAAACAAATGCTCTTAGTGAAGGAAGATATAAGCTGGCTTGTCACTCATATTACACCAAACTGCCGCATTTGTTGTAAACAAAACAGAGATTGAAGACATAATTGGAAAGCAACAAAGAAGATGCAAGTCTCTAAAAACAAAAAAGAAAACAAAGAAGATGTTTTTCAAACTGGAGTCATGTAAACAGTAGACAACTAAACCTTAGTTCCAAAAAACTATTAGGACTCATGTCACAACCTAAACTAATTAAAATTTGAATATAGAAATAATCATTGGAGTTTGAAGTCACAATATTGAATATCATTAAACAAGAAATTAACCCATGAATTATAAACCCCATGAGTTTGGATCTTTACGTTCAGTAGTGAGTCTTCCTCTTTCCATCATATGAATTTGATTCAACCATAAAGAGTCGAGAATTAGTAACAAACAAATGTTTTACCTCTCACGGTTTTATAATTTTTTTGGAAATGGATATTCTTTTGACTCCTCTGTATTTCATAGCTTCATAGTTGGTAATGGTATGATGCCCTTTATTAAAACAGAAACTATAGTCATCTACACCAATTAATTATTAATATTAGCAAAGAAGAACAACCAAAGCAAAGGATATAATAAAACTCTAATCTTCGTTGACATCCATAGAAGCATATATTATCTCTTAAACACGAAAACCCTATCTAGATTGTCATAACTTAATCGACAGAAAGCTAAAAGAACGAAAAACAAAAGACTCAAAATTGTTATTATTGAATTGTTCATTTCATATCATGAGAGTTCTGAATCTACGGGACCCATTAATATTTCTCCCAAAAAAAAAAACTATTCTATCCAACTACCCATTCACCTTGAGCAGTTTGAGTTTCACATCACATGTTTGGCTAACAAAATCCATACTTACTGGTAAAGTAGATGATCTCATCAACACGCTTGAATATCCACTCATGTTATTTCTCAATAAAATCCAACAACATGCTTCATGCTAATTCAGAAAAAGAAAATAGAAATTAGCAAGTGAATCTAAGAACCTATCAACAGCATAAAATTCACATCTCACTAACATATCCGAAAGCTGATTTACAACAGTTATGCGATATTTTGCTTGTCTTCTCCACCACAAGGAAAAGTTTCAGAATTTTCAACGTCAAGAAGCACAGACAAATAATATGTGTTAGCATTTGACCTGGGAGAGGACAGAAGACGCCTGCAAGCGAAAGAAAAAAACCATTGGAGATAAATTTGATGTCCTCGTACATCTAAATTGGGCTAAAATTGGATTCTTACAATTTCCAGCCACCGATCACGAATGGATGAGAATGTTGCAAAGTGGAGAATTTCTTAATGATCCAAGTGAATTTCTTATCATCTTCATTCCCCATTAAAGACTCGTCACGTCCAAACTGCCAAAACACGAAGATGAAGCCGTAGAACCGGAGTGAGAGTGACACACACACCTCAAATGCATATATCAAACCATGTTTCTCCCATATGGGTTTGTGGTGCTGGCCTTATATTTTACGAAGAAAAAGGCGTAGTGGCCTACTTTGTAAATTTCCCAAACAAAAATCCAACGTCCTTCACCAAAACCGGCCGTAACTCCACAAATTTCTGACGGATTCTTCCATTCGAAACTCTCATCCGATTCCTCTCCTCACCTCTTTGATAACCAAAGCTTTGCGTCTCTGATCCATGGATCTCTGATAGGGAAACCGTATCCAAACTCTGTGGCTACTCTCTGCCAGAGAAATAGAAGATCGAGAAGAAGAGGAAGGTTGCGATAAGAGAAGAGCATTGGTTTTTCTAGATTGATCCGGCATAAAAAGTTATTTATAAGATGGTTTGCATAGTTGAGGAGAAGAAGAAACGTTCGATGTTTCTCTTACATAAAACGTTTTAGTTTTAAGTTTTCTTTCCAAAGCGGGTTGTTATTAGGGTTAGTGAGAAGGAAGCTCAACATTCTTGAGTAAATAAAAGTTACGTTTAGTTTTCGTTTTTAACTTTCGAAAGCTGATATACCTTTTTTTCTTTAAAAAAAGCCACGTGTCCACTTGAAACAACCCAAAAATTTGCTTAGGTGGATAGCTTAAGGAGCCTCAAACAATCCCTTTTAATTAGTATAATAGATTGAATTTGAAATTAGACAGATGAGGATTTGGTCTCACAATAAATTGGAGCTAAAATACCTTACCCCACTAGCATAAATTTGTAAGTGGTCACAATAAGAAGAGTCTAAAACCAATGAAGATTGACCCATGACTTCAAAAAATCACACTGTATCTTCTTGTTTGAACTAGGTAATTTGAGCAACAAGATATTTCAAGTGACTTGGATCCATTATAGGCTCTTCCACATCATGACAATTCAAAACAAGATATCATTGTTTTGATCATCAGAATAGCAATTGAAAAGAATGAAATTTTGATTATAAGCACTAACAGTTGTAGAAAGCCATAATTTCTTTGAACTTAAATTACATTCCCAAGATCCAGAAAACGAGGAACATGCAAAAAAAAAAAAAAAACTCAAGTCAAATTTGGTTTAGCCAGAGATGTCAATAGACTTAACTTGTGTTTTATTCTTGGTCTCCACTTTAGGCACCGTCACGGTCAAAACTCCATGCTCCATGGAAGCCTTCACTTGATCCATCTTTAGATTCTCCGGCAACCTAAACTTCCTCGAGAATTTCCCGCTCGATCTCTCAACCCGATGCCACTTGTCCTTCTTGTCTTCCTTCTCCACGTGTCTCTCTTCGCTGATGTTAAGCACACTATATTACAACTCATAATCAAAGCTTGGAGAAGATGAATTAGAGAGAGAAAGTTACGAGAGAGAGTAAAGTTGTTATGTTTGTTATTCATCTTTTTCAAACTATACAAAGTTTGTAACTATATATACATTAATCATAATCCGGTTTAAGAGATAGATTAACCGGAAATAATGGTTATCTCACTAACTCTA